TTAACAATGGAACCGAATAAAAAAAGATCCCGAATAGCTGCAGCAATCCTGAGAAAGAGGAATAAAGTAGGTGGGATCTCAATACCAGAAATAAAGCTGTGTTACAAAGCCACTCTTCTCAAAACAGCCTGGTACTGGCACAAGAACAGACATATAGATCAATGGAATAGAATAGAGAACCCAGAAATCGACCCAAACCACTATGCACAATTAATATTCGACAAAGGAGGCATGAACATACAATGGAGTTAAGACAGTCTCTTCAATAAATGGTGTTGGGAAAATTGGACAGATAGATGCAAAAAAATGAAACTAGACCACCAACTTACACCATTCACAAAAATAAACTCCAAATGGATAAAGGACTTAAACATAAGACGAGAAACCATAAAAATACTAGAGGAATCCACAGGCAGCAAAATAGCAGACATATGCTGAAGCAATTTCTTCACTGTTACTGCTCCTAGGGCAATGGAAACTAAAGAGAAATTAAACAAATGGGACTACATCAAAATAAAAAGCTTCTGCACAGCAAAAGAAATTATCAACAAAACAACAAGAATGCCCACTGCATGGGAGAACATATTTGCCAATGTTATCACCGATAAGGGTTTAATCTCCAACATTTACAGGGAACTCATACAACTAAACAAAAGGAAGATAAACAACCCAATCAAAAAATGGGCAATGGACCTAAATAGAAACTTTTCAAAAGAAGACAGAAGGAAGGCCAAGAGACATATGAAAACATGCTCAAAGTCACTAATCATCCGGGAGGTGCAAATCAAAACGACAATGCGGTACTATCTCACACCTGTCAGAAAGGCTATCATCAACAAATCAACAAATGACAAGTGCTGGCAAGGATGTGGAGAAAAAGGAACCCTCCTGCACTGCTGGTGGGAATGCAGACTGGTGCAGCCACTGTGGAGAACAGTATGGAGTTTCCTCAAAAAACTGAAAATGAAACTCCCATTTGACCCAGTGATCCCACTTCTAGGAATATACACCAAGAAACTAGAAACACCAATTAGAAAGGATATATGCACCCTTGTGTTCATAGTAGCACAATTCACCATAGCTAAGATTTGGAAACAGCCTAAGTGCCCATCAGTAGGTGAGTGGATTAAAAAACTGTGGCACATCTACAGAATGGAACACTATGCTGCAGTAACAAAGAAGGAGTTCTTACCATTTGCAACAGCATGGATGGAACTGGAGAGCATTATGCTAAGTGAAATAAGCCAGTCAGAGAAGGATAAATACCACATGATCTCACTCATTTGTGGAATATAGTGAACAACATAAACTGATGAACAAAAACAGATCCAGAGATGGAGAGGCATCAATCGGACCGTCGGGCCTCGGAGGGAAGGTAGGGGAGGGTGGGGGTAATGGGTAGAGATCAACCAAAGGACTTATATGCAAGCATATAGGCCTAACCAATGGACATGGACAACAGGGGGTGAAGGCATGAGTGGGGGGGATAGGAGGTAACGTAGGGATAAGGACACATATGTAATAACTTATTCAATAAAAAAATTAAAAAAAAATAAAAGAAAAAAATAAAAATAAAACATTTGATAAAAGTTCAAAAACCAACAACACATCTCTATATATAATAGCCTAAGCGACTGTTAATGACGGAACCACTGGAATGACCTGTCAATCAGTTGCTATGATGCTCACTGACCACCAGGGGGCAGATGCTCAATGCAGGAACTGCCCTCTGGTGGTCAGTGCCCTCCCACAGCCAACCTCCAACGGCCCCATCCCCCATCGGCCCTTGGTGCTAAGTCATTCCTAGAGACCTGCTTCTAGGTCGGGGTTTTGTATATAGCAGAGCAGCTCCCTTGCTGCAGTCAGCCTTCGACACAAGGGTTTGTCTCACTCCTGTCCTCTCCCTTCCCCAGGGGCCATCCACCTGCCGAGGTGGCAGCTCGGCTGCGAGGGAAAGAGGGGGGAGGGCGGGGAGGCGGGGAACTGTGCGGTGGTCGGGCGCCAATGGCGGCGGTGGCATTCAGTGTCCGTTCCTTCCGCACCCGGCCCGGCAACAATCACCTCCTCTCCCGACCCCACCAGGCCCTTAGGGTCTGGACTGGGATGGGGACCCGGGGGTGGGTGGTGGCAGACACGCCCCTTTTCCAAGGGGGTCGAGGGCCAGCTCCCTTCTTGGGGCCAGCGGCCAACCTCCTGCAGTCCCCCCCCCGACACACACACACCTGTACACGAATTCGTGCACTGGGCCTCTATGATCTATACTAATAAAAGGGTAATATGCTAATTAGACCAGGTCAACTAGACATTTTCCGGATGTCCTTCCAGACAAAGCCACAGTGGCAGAGGCTGAGGCAGAGGCGGTTAGGGGCGATCAGGCCGGCAGGGGAGAGTGGTTAGGGGCGATCAGGCCGGCAGGCAGAGTGGTTAGGAGCAATCGGGCAGGCAGGCAGGTGAGCGATTAGGAGCCAGCGGTCCCAGATTGCGAGAGGGGTCCCGGATTGGAGAGGGTGCAGGACGGGCTGAGGGACCCCCCCTCCCCCCCACATGAATTTCATGTACCGGGCCTCTAGTCCTATATAATAAAAGCCTAATATGCACATTGACCGAATGATGGAATGACCATTCGGTGGGGGACAGAGGCGGCACCACGCCAGCCAAAGCGGGTACCAGTGGGCAGAGGGAGGGTGCGGTGATCGGGGAGCAGTGGTGACTGGCTACGGCGGAGGGGTGATTGGGGGCGGGGCCAGCTGCTCACTGGCGTTGTCCCCTGAATGCTCCACCGGTTGCCTCCTGCAGAGGTAGGCCACTGGCGGTGGTGGCAGTGGGGCTGAAGCGGGGCAGGGCCGGCTGGCGCTGTTCCCTGATTGGCCCGCCAGTCGCCTCCCGCAGAGGGAGATCAGAACAACCTGTCAGTTTGGACATCCCCCGAGGGCTCCTGGACTGCGAGAGGTTATAGGCCAGGCTAAGGGACCCCCCTGAGTGCACAAATTTTTGTGTGCCGGGCCTCTAGTATACTATATAAAGCAGTGAAATAAACCAGGATTCCAGAAGTGGATTCAGTTTGTCAGGAGCAAATTATGTGACAACTGGAAAACGAAGGAGAACAGGGTTGCTTTTTACTAATTGCTGCTAAAAAAGACGGGAAGCTTGTATACAGATTATTTAAGGTCTTGTGTCTCATACTATTCACCTTGCACTCTAGCCAAATAAAAGAGCTAAACATGAAACAACTTAGAAAATTAGGATATTTATTTTACCTGTGGAAAGGAGCTAAAATTGAACCGTTGAAGAATTGTTTTTAATAACCAGGTGAAATGAAGAATGCTATTAACTTTTAAACACCTGTGCAATGAAAAATTAAAGTCAGGTAAAGTGGAAGGAAACAGTGGGAAATTGTGGTGAACATAAATAAAAGCTTAACATTACAAAATGTATAAAATTTACTAAGGGTAGTACCTAGTCCTTACTAGATATTTCTAATTCAACCAAATGGCTCTCATATAAATAACAAATCAAGACAGTAAAGAACTGTTGTCAAGGTGGTCACAGAGTGCTGCAAATGCTGTGAGACCTACAAAGTTTTGTGGGTTTTTTTAAAGGAATGAGAGCGTTTTAGAGGAGATACGGTATGAACTGAGCCTTAAAGGCAGTAACTATTAGGGACTTTCTTGGACAGCTTTTGAAGGCATCATCTGTCTGATGGACAGCTGTTGGAGATTTGAGGCACAATCTAGCATGATCAGTTGGACTGTGGTATGTTAAAGATGGATTGAAAAGCGAGAGAGATGAAAGGTGGGGAGAGCAGCTAAACAGGTGAGGTAATGAAGGCCCAAACCAGGAAAGAACGGAAGGCAGATAAGTCAGGTTTGGTCACTGCCCCTGAACCAGGACATCCTTTCTGAATTAAGCCAGAGCATCAGGGTCCGCATGCTTTACCAGGGCTTTGTCAGCCCTTGCTGTATGTTGTCCTGGGCCTGTGCAGAGGCAGTTTATGAGAGAGAGTCCTATGGAGTTTGCCTTTCTACAGTGACATCTTTGTGAGAATCCTTGGGAGAAGTTTCTAATTTTGGAGTCAGAATTTCACCTAAAAAATTAGTTTGTTTCTGTATGTTGGACTCTTAATTGTGTGACTATTTTCATCTTAGTGATGATTGCTAGAAACTTGAAAGACAAATTTATGGATTGACTGTTGATTAAGTTTTGTATCTCAAGGAATACATTTTTGTATTGTCATTCCTGGCTCACTTTCTGTTTCTCTCCATGTTTTGTTTTTCTTTCTTCCTTTTTATTTTGTTTATCACCTTCTAGTTTGCTGTGGTGAACTATGTTTATCTTTTATGCAAACTTCAAATATTCTTTGGAAGAAAGTGGGACATAAATATATGTATTTACACCTAAAAGTCAGTAAAACCAAATAAAAATTAATGAAGCGCAATGTTGTAGGGGCCATGGAGGAATAAGCACACATACTTGGCTGATGACTACATTGCAGTTTCTGAGGATTGTATCTAGTGATAGATACTCAAAGCTATCTTAGAAACTATTAGTGACACTTTTGAAAATGTATCACAAAGAAATAACCCAAAAGAAACAGCTTTCATGTAATTGTTTATAGCTATAATACATGAGTGTAAAGGGGGAAGGAACCCAAGTGCACAGTGGTAGAGGATGGTCTAAAAAATTGGTTAATATAATAAAGCCATCAAAAATGGTTAAGTAGATTAGATAAATAGAAATGTACATATACATGTAAATTATCAAAATATGCATTATACTCATTTAATAATATGTATATATAGTAAAAGGAAATGAGAGGTTATAGAGTGTTATAATTAACATTTATGAATAGGCTTTTCTCCCCTGCACAGTTAATATAATTTGTGAGTACTTTTGAGATTGGTACCAGTTTAAGGAGTGGGTTTGGAGACTACATAAAATTTAAAGTTTTACTCCTGATCTTTCTTCAGCTACCAAGCTGCCTCTTTGTCCCTTTGTTTTAGGATTTAAGCATTGAGGAACAGTCAGAGTGCACTCAGGATTTTTACCAGAATGTGGCTGAAAGAATGCAGACTCGTGGGAAAGGTAATACTTTGTTAGCCAGCCCAAATTGAGGGATTGCTGGTAGTTGCACAGGGCCAGACTGCTGGATCTCTTAGCAGTTTCTCTCTTTCTCTGAAGGCCTGGCTGGTGTGCCCAACTCTAGCATTTTGGTAGCTGGTCTTACATTTAGCAGTGCCATTGAATAATATCATGTGTACTGTTCCAAGATAATCAGAGCAATAGGGTAATTTATTGAGCAAGGTTTAATAACTTCATTAGGGGTTGGGCAGAGCTGATTAAAACTCTTTGGGAGGCTTCTAAATGAAACCCCCATTTTAGAATTACCATCTTGGTGAGTTATTTGGTCATGATTATATATTTCTTGAAGGTTAAAGCAGGAGAAAAATTGAGAACCACTGATTTACTTTAGGTTTATAGGGATTCTTCTTGAATTTAATTTCCATTGATGTTATATTTTAGGATGTACTTAGTATACATGTACATTTGAGAAATCTCCCCCATGTATATACTTTGGAGAGATCTCTGAGGTTTTATAGTAAACCTCAGAAAAGTGAAAGGGTGAGTCTTACTAGCATTCATCAGTCTGGGGATTTCAAGTGCTTTTCTAATGTAGCAATAGGGAGGGACCCATGCCGAGTCTTCCCACTTGGGTGTGAGGAAGCCCTAACACCTGATAGGTCTTGCCAAAACAGCTTAAGTTAGAAGTAGGGATTATGTAAAAGGCAGTCCCAAAAGTCAGGTAAATTTTTTAAAGGTATTTTTCAATGTAACATCTCATACTTTTCTTTTTGGGTGTGTTTAATGTATTTTTAGAAAGTTAGTTTTCTGCTATGTAGAAAGTACTATGAAAATAATTCTTAATTATACATGCCCATCCTCATCTTGGGCTTTTATTTCTATTTGGATATTTCAGTGCCTCCTGAAAGAGTTGAGAAGATAATGGATCAGATTGAAAAGTACATCATGACTCGTCTCTATAAGTATGTGTTCTGTCCAGAAACGACTGATGATGAGAAGAAAGATCTTGCTGTTCAAAAGAGGATCAGGTAGTTGATTGTTTTGCTTTGTCTTGTTGTATAGTAATCCCCCTTATCTGCAGGGGATTTGTTCTTAAGACCCCAAGTGGACACCTGAAACTGCAGATAGTGCTGAACCCTATATATACTTTTCCCTCCTATACACATATACCTATGATAAAGTTTAATTTATAAATTAGGCGCATAAGAGACTAACAACAACGAATAAAGTAGAAGAATTACAGTGTACTGTAATAAAAGTTATTTAGTCTTTCTCTCTCCCAATATATCTTACTAAGTTGAGGACTTCCACCTTTTCAATTAAAGGAAGAACTTTATGGCTTTTCTTTGGCATATTTGAATTACCAGCATCACTAACTCTTGCACTTTGGGGCCATTATTAAGTAAAATAAGGTTCACTTGAACACAACCACTGCAATACTGTGACAGTCGATCTCATAACTGAGACAGTTACTGAGTGACTATAGTAAGTGACCAATGGACAGGTAGAGTATACAGTGTAGATATGCTGGACAAAGGGATGATTCACGTCTCGAGTGGGACTGTGCAAGGTTTCGTCACACAGAACAGCAATTTAAAACTTATCAATTATTTATTTCTGGAGTTTTCCACTTAGTATTTTTGGACCACAGTTACTGTGGGTAACTGAAACTGAGGAAAGCGAAACTGAACAAGGAGGGATTTAATTTACCATTGTATTTACCACCAGCTGTTGGGAGAACACCTTGTGGGAAAACAGGGCCTTTGAATTTCAGACCTTGAGAGCAAGCTAAGGTACCTGCCTGCCATCCTTGGCATATAAGCATATGAGCTTATTTGTGGGGTCAGAAAGAAAAGGAATATGGTACATTGATAGGAGGAGAGAGCTCAAGGCACCATTTTGCTTATCCATCTGAATGCCAGCAGTTTTAGGTAAGAACCATTTTTGATGTTTCTGATTTTTTAAAATAACCAAATTTTCTAAGGAGGAAATATCATTATTTTCTCATTTCATTGTACTAACTATCTTGTCAGGTAGGAAGCTGTAAATATCCATATCAAGGTGATGGGTATCATTTTTTTCTCATTTCTACCAGGGATGCTCAATAGTCAGCCATTCCTCCAATCACATCTTTCCGCTAGCACTGGGTAGATAATACTTTGCAGCACATCCGGTCTTTCATGGCCAGTAGAATGAGCCTCAGTGTTCTGCATTCCAGTGGCAGCGAAGCACAGAGAACAGGCTATCAAATTTGGGAACCACACAAAGACGGAGCATGATGAGGTGTTTCTGGAGGAGAGGGGCCAAGGAATGTCAAATGGAGTTCCCAGATAGTGAGGCTGATGCAGGGGTGGGCAAACTTTTTGACTCGAGGGCCACAATGGGTTCTTAAACTGGACCGGAGGGCCGGAACAAAAGCATGGATGGAGTGTTTGTGTGAACTACTATAAATTCAAAGTCAATATCATTACATAAAAGGGTACGGTCCTTTTTTTTTTTTTAGTTTTATTCATTTCAAACGGGCCGGATCCGGCCCGCGGGCCGTAGTTTGCCCATGGCTGGGCTGATGACTGATGGATCAGTACTTTCTGGTGTCACACTAGAAGTGAGAAGTTGATCTTGGGAAGATAGGAGGTAGACCTAAATGGGCTTTGGACTGAGATTCAGGGTGAGAGCATTAGTCAAGTAAATGGTGGGCATTGGCAACAGAATCTCTGGAGTGAAGCTGTTATGTGATCGGAGAACTCAATGATTCAGGCTGAGGTGACACATGCTTGTTGACCTTACACAAGCTCCAATATGCTCCAGAAGTTGAGGACAGAGCCTACAAGGACATTAATGGTGGTGGACAGGACAGGGAGCAGCAGGTTCTTCACAAGTATTCATTCTCAGATATCTAGTGCTTTCACACCTACTATAATCTCGTTACAGCCAGTAAAATTGTCTTCTGCTTTTCTTATGATTAGTGCAGAAGAGAAGCCTCACTTTAGGACTCTAGTTACTGTGAGCTTCTGATCTGTACAGGGGTGATGTGGTTGGGCCTAGAATTGCCCGATTAATCAATGGTGTCCCTTATTTTCTTGTAACTGATGGAAATGATAAGATAAATGGCTGCAGTTCATTCTGTTTTTATCTGTTTGTTTTTTGTTAATCCTCACCCAAGGATATTTTTCCATTGATTTTTATAGAGAGATTAGAAGGGAGGGGAGAGATAGAGCGCTCGAGAGAAACATAGTTGTGAGAAAGACACATCGATTGGTTGCCTCCTACACACATCCCCACCAGGGTCAGGGATCAAGTCTACAATCAAGGTACGTAGACTGGAATCAAATCTGAGACCCTTCAGTCCTCGGGTCAATGCTCTAACCAACTGGCCAGGCTAAAAAGTCCATTCTTTGAACTTTTTTTACTGTCTTTCTCTCTTGTAGAGCCCTGCACTGGGTTACACCTCAGATGCTTTGTGTCCCTGTTAATGAAGAAATTCCTGAAGTGTCTGATATGGTAGTGAAAGCAATTACAGGTCAGTGAAACTTTATCTATGTATATATGTATATATTTTTTATATTTGGATATTTTTCCCTTGAAGTTAACATATGTTTTAGAAACCCATACTTATTTCAGTGAGCAAAAAGATAGTAAAGTATTTCTAAAATTCAGACTGCCAAAGACATATTGGAATGTGGTAAGCATGATTTCCAGGAGTGTTAGTTTTATGAATTAAAAGCATTCTGATTAGCAGGTAAACTACTTTTCCCCTTCACTTTCCAAAACCGGGGCTTCTCATTTCTTGGGTATTGAACTAAACTAAGATCAAATACAGATAGAATAAATTTCTTAAAACTCAGTTGCATTAATTCTTTTTTTAAATATTTTTATTGATTTCAGAGAAGAAGGGAGAGGGATAGAGTGAGAGAAACATCAATGATGAGAGAGAATCATTGATCAGCTGCCTCCTGCACGCCCCCTACTGGGGATTGAGCCTGCAACCCGGGCATGTGCCCTGACCAGGAATTGAACCACGACCTCCTGGTTCATAGGTCAACGCTCAACCACTGAGCTGGGCTTATTTGCATTTATATACTCAAAGTAAGTTTGGAGAGAGGGAGGGAATTGGTGAGGCAAGGTCATACCCAAACTAGAGTTACATATTAAAATGATGCTTCTAATTGGTTGTTAATCAGAGATGTGCTTTGAATTACTTTTCTGGTTTGTTCAGAAAGTATATGAAGTGGCTTATATTGATGTGGTTCTGCCATTTCTGGATAGGTCTAGGGACCTAATAAGGTTTCTGTTTCTTAGTCATAGGAATAACTGAGTAGAAGTGCAACACAAACATTTAAAAAACAAACAAGAAACAAAAAAACTCCTAATGGAAAAGACATCCAATCTTGGACAACTTCTCCTTCATTATGAAGAGTTGGGAAGATTTGCTTACTTAGAGATTGTTAATGAAATTCTGCCGGGTAGAAAAGTAGGCCAGTTGCCGGTAGTGGTGTTGGAGGCAGGCTATGAAGTAGGCTGGCTCCTTTGATTATGAGAACCAGAGACTCCCTTAAGTAACAGGAAGAAATGGGGTTTGCTTAAGATATTATGAGGGTTGGAAGGGAGGCAGGACTTAGAAACAGCTCCAAGGCCTCTCTAGAGACTGAGTTATCTACTGTTAACATGATTCTTTTCCACTTTCTCAGGTTCTGCTTATCTTTGCATTTCAATTCTTATTATTACATGAATTGTTGTTTTTAATTCCCCATGAAGAGTCTAAATGATGTAGCTAAATACTGTCATCTTTGTTGTTCAAAGCTTTTCTGCTAGGCTATGTCATAGGTCCAGTGAATTGAGTTCTTTGGGTCAAGGCCTATTTTTTGCTCAGGGAACATTATGAGAGATTGAAGGTGACAGCCTCTCAAAAGCCTGAATGTGCACCTTTTAGACTTTTACCAAGTTCAAGACCAACTGGTTTATGTTTAAAGTACTCCATAGGAATTTATGTCGATAACTCTTTTCTGAAAAGTCATAGGACAGACCTTGCAAAACCAGAAACTGCAAGTACCCAACTGTTGTTTACTTAAAAATAGAACTAAGAAAGAGGATTTTAATACATCAACCATTTGTTAATAGAATTTGAGAGGTAAAAATTTTCTTTCAAGGCACCTGAGATGATGTTTCAAGAGATCTTTTTATTTATTTATTTATATATATATATATTTTATTGAGTTTTTACAGAGAGGAAGGGAGAGAGAGAGTTAGAAACATCGATGAGAGAGAAACATCGATCAGCTGCCTCCTGCACATCTCCTACTGGGGATGTGCCCGCAACCCAGGTACATGCCCTTGACCGGAATCGAACCTGGGACCTTTCAGTCCGCAGGCTGACGCTCTATCCACTGAGCCAAACCGGTTTCGGCAAGAGATCTTTTGATAGTAAAAATTCAGCCACAAAATTGTAAACACCTTCTTACTCTTTCTCATTTTAGCTGATACCTTGCCAATCCAAGTGCAATATTTTACCTCTTTGAGAACCAAAGATTATATGATCACTTTCTTCCTAATCTTTAAAATTGTCAGTCTAAGTACAGTAGTATTTATAGGACAGTCTATAATAGTCATCCTTTTAAAAAATAATACAGTTCTTAAATATAGAGATGTCAGCTCAGTTTCTCCAAGTCATCCCATCTGCTACTAATCAGCACTATCATTTTTGTTTATAAATATACTGCATGGGGCATTTTCCATTTTAGTTGACATCTGGCATCTAGTGGGTGGAGGCCAGGGATGCTACTAAACATCCTGCAGTGTACGGGACAATCCTGCAACATGGAATTTTCCAGTCCAAATGTCAAACTAACCTAGAAGTACAGACTACTTTGTTTCAAAACTCTATTAAAGGTAAGTCTAGACATCTGCTAAGATAGAGTAGGCACACTCAACCCTACCTTTCCTACTGATTAGAAGAAAAAGCCCAGGACAGGAGACCCAAAGCAAGAACTCTGAAAAGTAAATAGTAGCAGGTAGATTGGGGAGGGAAATCATTACTAGAAGAACAGCTAATACAATGGCGAGTTTCCTGTTTTGTTTGTTTTTCCTCCTGCATTTCCTAGTTTAGACTTTAGGGCAATGCAAATCATAGAACTGCATATTGTGGTGTGAGTGTCCAAAAGAGTCCAACAGAGAAACTTCTTTTAAACTGAATGATATTCAAGGAGGAGATGGAGGGGTTGCTGCAGGATGAAGAGAGTGGGAGAAATCCCTTGGACTCCCCCCAACCCCCACTCGCCCATTATATACTCTTCTTTACACTCTTGGCCCTGCCCCTTGGCAGTGCAGCTACACATGCATCCAGATAAAAAGTAATTCATTTTTTATTTACTTTAAAACATAAACAATAAAAATTAATGAGAAAATATGTAAAATAAAGAATAAAAATCAACAATAAAAGGCTTTGAAAGTATAAAAAAAAAATCTTCCCCAGTATCGTTTTTTGTAATAAGTTCTATTTACATAGAAAAAGAAAAATAGACTGAGACATAGTAACAATAATTATAATCCAGAGATAAAAAGTTAAGGAACTAATAATAAAAAAAAGTGAAGATTATATACTTCACAATATAGGTGCATAAGTAAAGAGAATAAAAGCATTAGTAAGTTAAAGTAAGGCCTCTGCACTGTCAGGTGTTTCTGTCTTCGACACATGGTTGATGGTCCTGTGAGGGTCCCTTGAGTAGCTTACCTCATGGATAGGAGGTGAGCAAAAAGAACTCTCTGGCCTGTACCACCCTGTCACCTAAGTCTGAAACTTATTCCTGCTCATGGCAAGAACTGGTATCAAATTCAGCTGCCTCAGCTGTTTACTTTGATGATATTCAAGATGGCAAGCATATATGTGCATCCAAAGGCACACTTCCTGCCCTTGTTCTGGCACTGAGTTTGTATCTAACTTTCCCTCACCATCTCCTAGTCCTCTGACAACGGATGTGTGCATATAAGAGTCCACCAGTTGGCCCTAGCTGCTTTGGCTCTGTGGATAGAGCATTGACCTGCAAACTGAAGGGTCCCAGGTTCAATTCTAGTCAAGAGCACGTGCCTGGGTTGCGAGCTCCATCCCCATTGTGGGGCGTGCAGGAAGCAGCCGGTCAATGATTTTCTCTCTCTTCATTGATGTTTCTATCTCTCCCCCTTTCCCTTCCTCTCTGAAATAAATAAAAATATATTTTAAAAAAAGAGCCCACCAGTTGGACTTAGTGGTAGTGAAGGGCATTGAAGCAATTTTTTTCTGAGAAATAAAATGTTTATGAGATTAAATATATACCCTTGATTTATCCCTTTTGCTGATAGCAGGTTGTAAGTGTCATAAAGTTTCTGTAGAAGTTTGTAGCTAGTGGAGATTTACATGCTGTGAGGGTTGGCCACTGCGAACCTCTGTGTGATGGGTTTCAGCAGCTGTATTTTGATATCTAATACAAAGATGCTTTGTACCATATAGTAGCCACATTGCTAAAAAGCAGTATGCAAATTGAGGATTTCTAAACTGAGTTTTAAAATACATTAAGAGTTAATTAAGAGACTTATTTCTCCATGAAATTCATAAGTAGTTTTACATCATGATTAAAAGAATGGGCATTAGAGTCAGACTTGGTTTCAAATCCCCCCTCTGTTACTTGCAATGTGTATCATCTTGGTCAGGTCATTAAACTTCTCTGAACCTCAATTCTCTTAATAATAATAATATCCCTGCCCTAGCCTGTGTGACTCAGTTGGTTGAGCGTTGTCCCATGCACTGAAAGGTTGCCAGTTTGATTCCTGGTTAGGGCACACGCCCAGGTTTTGGGCTTGATCCCCGTAGGGAGCATGTAGGAGGCAGCTGATCAATGTTGCTCTCACATTGATGTTTATATCTCTGTCTCCCTCTTCCTTCTTCTTCTCTCTCAAAATCAATTAAAAATATATTTTTAAAAAAGTATCACTTGCATCATCTGAGGATGAAAAGAAATTTGTAGAGCATACTGTGTAGTGCTAGGTCATGGTCATGTGTTCTATAAGTATGAGCTGGTATTTACTGTTTGCGCAATCTAAGTTTTTATTTATTTATTTATTTTTGTTAATCCTTGCCCAAGTATATTTTTCCCATTGATTTTTAAAGAGAGTGGAAGGGAGGGGGAAAGACAGAGAGAGAGAGAAATGTCGATGTGAGACAGACACATCAATTGGTTGCCTCCCACAACGCCCCAGCCAGGGCCAGGGATCGAGCCTGCAACCAAGGTACATACCCTTTACCGGAATCAGACCCACGATCCTTCAGTCCTCGGGCCAGCACTCTAACCACTGACCCAAACCAGCTACGGCCGATTTAAGTTTTATTTCCCGCCCCCCCCCCCCCATTTAAGTTTTATATACATTAAGTTAACTGGTGGAGAGGAGGTTAGCAAGGTTACCTCGCCAACTTAGGATAAAGTGATTATCCTAACGCTTCTTTTATGTAATTATTTTCTCATTGGAAGCACTGTGTTTTCTGTTTTACATTACAGATATTATCGAAATGGATTCGAAGCGGGTGCCTAGAGATAAGTTGGCCTGCATCACCAAGTGTAGCAAGCATATCTTCAATGCCATCAAGATCACCAAGGATGAGCCAGCTTCAGCCGATGACTTCTTACCTACTCTCATTTACATTGTTTTGAAGGGTAACCCCCCACGCCTTCAGTCTAATATTCAGTATATCACCCGCTTCTGCAACCCAAGCCGATTAATGTCTGGAGAGGATGGCTACTATTTCACCAATCTGGTGAGTATTTGTGATTTCTTGGTGTTATGGAGAACCACTATGAAGGTATTGAGTTTAGGGATATGACCAGTCACTCATAGGCCTGCGACATGTTAATTGCTCCTGAGTTGAGGAGTCAACATAACTACAGATGTTTGCTTGGTGCCACAGTGCACAGGTGACCAGGCCATGCAAACACTCCACCTCCCAATACTTGACCAGAGATTATAGTGCTTGTATGGGAAACATGATAACCACATTGAGGAGTCTGCTGCTTTGGTCCATCATTCCCCAGAGTCCTGGGTATAAGAGCCATTCACTTATGTGGCTTGTTTCAACCATGAATAAGTCAGATCCTAGGCTTTGGTTCCTTTATTAAAAGATTTATTTTTGTTGTATTTCTACAAGTTACCACTTAGAACTGAAAACTAAGATATTTTAAGAAAGGGTCAGTTTAGAGAATGTGAAATGATTTTTAACTATTGTTTTGCTGCAGTGCTAATTAATTCTAGGCAGGACAAGATTGAAGTATATATATATCTAAGTTATAAGGCAGAATAATTCCTTTTACTGAAGACTAAACTTCTGTTTGTTTGCTTAGACAAGATATACTGTCAAACAATGAACTTGAACCTCAGCACTGTAAGTGCTTTGTTTCCTGTTCTGGAAGTTGTACAGGGTAATAGGTAAGGAGAGGAAGCCAGGGTAAGGAATCTCCAAGCCTCCCAAAATTTGTTGAGATTTATTTTTACACTAGAGGCATGGTGCACAAAATTCGTGCAAGGGTAGGGTCCCTAGGCCTGGCCAGCGATCAAGGCCGATTGGGGCCTCCCTTCCCCAACTGCTGGCTGCCAGCTGGGGCCTTCCTTCTTTCCATGCCACCCCCTGGTGGTCAGTACATGTCATAGTGAGAGAGCGGTCTCCCGGTCGAAATCCCGCAGGGACAATTCGCATATTAGGCTTTTATGTATATAGATAGGTATTCACTTTTGTACCTAATTTTGTGTTCATCTTTTATTTATTTCCCTTTAAATGAGTTCCCAAAAGCGTATAAGCTTCAGGTCCCTCAAAACCTGGATTGCCCTTGTTACGTATCACCCTCAGCCACTGTGTTCCCCTACCTGTCACTGTAGTGCCAGCATCTGGGAAGTGTGGTTTGTAAGTGGAGGAATTTGGGACTATTTCAAAATGATGCTTGCTCCCTTATTTGGAGCACTATTTCTTAACATAAAGGAAGCATGCACTGGAGTACTAAAGAAGAAAGAGCCTTTTGGAGTCAATTGTTATGTACAGAGGATTAGATGATCTGAAAATCCTGAGAAGAATAGAGATGGAGAGACATGGTAGTAGGAGAAATGAAGCAAGACCAGGAGGTCTTTGAGGGGCCCTCGTTATTGAAACTGGAGGCTGCTGGTTCACCTATACTCTGCAGCTTCCCCGTGCCTTGACCTACAGCCTTAACTATGTTTGCACCTTCTTTCTTCATCCTGTTCTTGCTGGACTCAGAGTCGGCTTCTATGCTCACTTTTCCAATAAAAATGCTCTGGCAAAAGTAAAAAATCTGCCAGTTGACAAATCCCCTGGGGAACTCTCAGTCTTCATCTTACTTCTTTAACATTCTTGATGGCTCCTTTGTTCTGGAACTTATATCTCTTGGCTTCTACAATTCCACCCCTTCTTGTCTTTTTGTAGGCTTTGTGTCCTCTACTTCTTCTTGAGTTGTGTCACTCCCTGGGGTTCTGTCCTCTGTGCATCTCTCTCCCTAGGCTGTCTCCTCTGGTCACAGCTCTGCTGGTCACCTGGACAGGTTTGTGTCACCTGTTTTGACCTCATGCTGAGCTCCACTTCCAGCTATTTGTTGTGCCTCAGATTTAATTTGTTCAAAACTGAAACTGCTTCCCAATCAGATGTCTTTTTTCTTTTCTGTATACAGTTGATCCTTGAACAATATGCGTTTGAACTGCACAGGTCCACTTATATGCAGATTTTTTCAATAAATACTGTAACTGTATTTTCTCTTCCTTATAGTTTTCTTTTTTAAAAAAAATATTTTTTTATTGATTTCAGAGAGGAAGAAAAAGATAGAAACATCAATGATGAGAGAGAACCATTGATCGGCTGCCTCCTGCACACCCCACACTGGGGATGATGCCCTTGATCAGAATTGAACCCAGCACCCTTCAGTCTGCAGGCCAATGCTCTATCCACTGAGCCAAACCAGCTAGGGCTGATTTTGTTTTTAGAAAATTTTTTAAATTGTGTTTTCATTGATTCTTTTTTAGAAAGAGAGGAAGGGGGAGGGATAGAGGGATAGAGGGACAGAAACAACGTTGAAAGAGAAACATCATTGGTCAGCTACCTCTGCATGTCTCCTACTGGGGATTGAGCCTACAATCCAGGCATGTGCCCTGACTGGGAATAGAACCAGTCACCTCTTGGTGCATAGGTCGATGCTCAACCACTGAGCCACACCGGCTGGGCTTTCTTATTATGTTCTTAATAATACTTTTTCTTTGGTTTACTTTATTATAATAATACAGTATTCAGTACATACAACATACAAAATATTTATCAATCAACTGTTTATGTTATGAGTAAGGCATCCGGTCAACAGCAGGCTATTAGTAGTTAACTTTCGGAGGAGTCAAAAGTTATACTGGGTTCAATCCCTACTTGAGGGGTATACGAAAGGCAACTGACCGGTATCTCTCTCTCTCCCCCTTTCTCTCTCTCTAAATATCAGTAAAAAGATGTCCTTGGGTGAGGATTTTTTTTTTTACAGATTCAGGTGAATATTTTTGTAAAAATAGCATTTTTACAAAAAATGCGAAAATGGTGCGTGCTCATTGTAGAAAAATTTAATAAATATAAGAATGTGTAACTGATGGAAGTCTGTTTCACTGTTTGTCCTAGCATTTCTATACTAATAATTGTTGCCATTTATTCATTGCTTACTACAGATCTATGAGCTAAGCACATTACATGTGTTACGGTGTTTAATTCTCACAGTAAATCTGATATTTCCCCCCTTTTACTCATGTGGAAACCTCACAGAGCCTAGGTAATTTTCCTAGGATCACACAACTCTTGACTGTCAAGTGACAGAGGTGACAACTCAGGTTGTCTGGTTTTAAAACTTGTACTTTTGCCCTGGCCGGTTTGGCTCAGTGGATAAGAGCGTCAGCCCGAAGATTGAAGGGTCTTGGGTTCGATTCTGGTCATGGACGCCCATGAGTTGTGGGTTTGTTCCCCCCAGCCCCAAGTGTGCGGAGGCAACCTGTCAATGTTCTCTCTCAGTCTCTCCTCCTCCCTTCCACTCTCTCTAAAAATCAATAGAAAAATATCCTCTAGTGAGGATTAACCAAAACAAAACAAACAAACAAAAAACACAAACTTGTCCTTTTAACATGTGATTTAAAATATCTCTTTGGGAACTGGTGGTCTGTGTGCCACAGGGGTCCCCGAGGACGCTCCCAATGTCTGGCCATGCCCTAGTAAGCCTTGTGGGGCTCGCAAGACCACAAAACAAAGTGGTTTTATGGGGTGTGCCCCCAGGTACTTGGCCCTGGAGCTCCTGTCCTCAACAAGGATTCCTCTGCTCTGCAGAGAAGCAGAAAGCCTGTAGGAAGCTCTGTAGCAGCCAGGGTGGAACCAGCATTGAAGGTGCCTCCTCAGTACTTCACTCTGTTCAAGACTGTAGCACCTTTGAACAACCTAAGTAGAGAATTGAATTTCTGACAGGCTCAGTGGGAGTTGGCAATTAGATTTAATTGTTTTTTTGTTTTTTTAAGGAAGAAATGTACTATTTCAGATGAGAGCATAAAGGAAACATGATCGGCTATGTGTTGATAGTTTTTGAAGCTGAAGTCCATGGAGGTTCATTAGACTGTTTTGTCTACTTTTGCTTCAGTTTTAAATTCTCCATAATGAAAGGATTTTAAAAAATCGATTTTAATATTTGTGACTTTGCTCATATGATTATAATAACATTCTCTTCTTTTTGTAGTGCTGTGCTGTGACTTTCATTGAGAAGTTAGACGCTCAGTCTTTGAATTTAAGTCAGGAAGACTTTGATCGATACATGTCTGGCCAGACTTCTCCCAGAAAGCAAGAATCTGAGAATTGGTCTCCTGATGCTTGTTTAGGTGTTAAGCAAATGTATAAGAACTTGGATCTCCTGTCTCAATTGAATGAACGACAGGAAAGGATTATGACTGAAGCCAAGAAACTTGAAAAAGACCTAATAGATTGGACTGATGGAATTGCAAAAAAGGTTCAAGACATTGTTGAGAAATGTCCACTTGAAATTAAGCCCCCAAATCAGTCTTTAGCAGCTATTGACTCTGAAAATGTTGAAAATGACAAACTTCCTCCACCATTGCAACCTCAAGTATATGCAGGATGATAAAATGTACAGATAGTATTTATTTGAGCCTAAATTGTAGCTAGTCCTTACTACAGTCCACTGATTGAGATATAGAATATAACTTAATTGCTTTTAAGTGTCAGAGCATTTTTCAAGGTACAGTTTGTGGGGATTGTTTTTGTTTTGTTTTCCTGGCAGGGGAAGCTTAGTAAATAATAAAGTACTATTTATTTGAGTTACTGAAATAGATTCATTTAAGGCTTGTGTGAAATTTTTGTCTAAATCTATTTTTTCTCCACGATTTTCCTATGTGCTTCCATGTGGTATTCAGTGTGGTTTAGATTTGGGTAAATAATTGCCTCTTAAAGGGTAAAACAAATGAATGCTACAAATGTATGTTTAAGGGAATTCAATGGTACCACTATTCTATAATTTAAAATAATTTTATAATTGTAAAGATAGAAGATATATTGATAAGTAAGTATATAAAATTGTATATATGTAAAAAAAGAAAAAAGGAATGGTGTGTGCTGTGCATGGCATTTCATATGTTCATTTTTTGGGTTTAAAATGGTGTATTGAATGTTTGCCTTTAACACCATTTTACTTGGTTTGCCCCACTACAGTGAATGTAGAAGTTTTTAGACATACTTCCCTTAAAATGTTGACTCTATTTTTGACACTATGGTAACCCTGATTTTAAGGTCCTGTATAGTCCTGTATAGTCAGAGACTATGACACCATTGAGGTTCAGAATAATTTTAAGTTTAATTCACTGTTCAGTATACTCAGTTGAAGGCTTTGAGCCATGCTTCTCACACCTCTTTCCTCTATCCATTCAGCAAATATTTATTGAGCTCTTTGATGTAAAGGAGACCTTGCTCTGGGTCAAAGGACAGCAGGGACCAGGACTCTGCTGATGAGAGCTGACGGGGAGCTCTCAGAACTGTAAAGTGCAGGTGACCTTTTGCCTCCATAGTGTACTTTTGACTTTATGGACAACCCAGACACATGTCACATAAACCTCTTTTTGGGTTTCTCAACTTCAGCACTATTGACATTTGGGGCCCGAGGAGTTTTTGTTGTGTGGTGCAACATCCCTAGCCTCTATACCCACTAGTGACTAGTAGCAACCCCCCCCCCCCCCCAGTTGCGAAAAATCATCGTAGATATTGCCGAATGTTACCGGGGGTGGGGAGCAAAATTGCCCCCAATTAAGAACCACTGATCTATATTGTAAGCAAGGTAGTTCTGCCAGTGGTTAATATGCTGTAACCAAAGAATATTGCATGAAGTGCACACCATACTGTTAACTGACCTCTTCCAGTGAGGCTTTACCGTCACCATCCATGCAAAACTTTTTCTGATTCTAATGGAGCCTTTCATAACTTAAATATGCTGCTTATGATACTCCTTCCCAGCAATCATTTCTACAAATTATCAGTGTACCTGTGAAATTGTGAGTAATTCCCAGGGAATTACCATTCTTGAACAAGATCACATCACACAAGCAGTAAAGAAAGTTTCCTTTGTTTTCCCAATATCTTGCTAATAATGTACCACAAATTTGTAGTCAGTAATTTTGGAATAAAACTAGGGTGCATATAAAACTTTTTATCCTTAAATTTACATATAAAATCCATCAAGTTGACAAGTCTGTTGTCATAAAGCACTGAAGACATGAGTCAGCTGATCACCAAGTTCCTATGGAATGGAATGAGTTACTGTGAAATATGAATGAGAACTTGCTCTTAGAAACGTGGGCCCAAACGATTTTCACACAAAGCTTTTCTCCGTTTTTCTGTTTTATTTTCTATGTACTTTCTAGGTGCTAACCCAGATATGCACACTCTTAATTCTCCTGGGAATATATAGTTCTTTTAGTCATTGTACATTATGTCTGTTAAATGAAATGTGTGTATCAGCCTCCCACTGAAGCAGTCTTCTTTGGATTTCTTACATATCTTAAGGCAATATGTTGAATTGACTTTTTTGTATATATCATATTGGTTGAATTCTTCAGATGTGGACTCTTGCCTTAGCTAGAGGCTTATATTTCTCTTAAGCATCAATACTATGGCCAGAGTTTCTGTTTTCTCAACCAGAAAGTATTGATATTTCATGTACTATAAATGTGATTAGAATAAACCTTGGGAACAGAAGTCCTTATCAATAAAATTTCATGATCCATTCCTTTTCCAAACTGATTTTTGGTTCTTCATCTTAGGAAAATGTACACTATTAATGTTTTTCACATTAAAAAGGTTTTCCTTTTAAGCCACAGATATCATTGTCATACTTTGAAAAATTAGAGACATCCAATGGGGGGAAAAATAGCAAGAGAAGGATGTTCGTTATCACTACATTTAATGCTGTTCTGAAAGTTTCATCCAAGATACTCAGTCTTCAAGCAGAACTAAAGGTAGAGGGGAAAGGAGTTAGTCTAATATAGAGCTGTTATAACCTGGTGGTTGAGGACATGAACTTAAGCTAGAAGGCTTGAATTTAGTTTTGAATTTTGACTCTGCCACTTACCTGCCTCTTTGACCTTGGGCAAGTCTCTCGTGTTTCACATACCTCTTCTGTGAAGTGGGATAATAATAGTACAAGCTTCAAGGGGTTGTTGTAAGGATTAAATGATTCAGAACACTACATAGCAATGCTAAGTGCTTAAGTGATAGCTATTATTTGTAGGTGATTTTTCTTTTTCTTTTTTTTTTTTTTAAATATATTTTATTGATTTTTTTACAGAGAGGAAGGGAGAGAGATAGAGAGTTAGAAACATCGATGAGAGAGAAACATCGATCAGCTGCCTCTGCACATCTCCTACTGGGGATGTGCCCGCAACCCAGGTACATGCCCTTGACCGGAATCGAACCCGGGACCTTTCAGTCCGCAGGCCGACGCTCTATCCACTGAGCCAAACCGGTTTCGGCTGTAGGTGATTTTTCTATGTAGAAAACCTAAGAGAATTGACATTGAAACTATTATTAAATTTCACTAAAGTATGAGATATGAAATGTTAAAATAGCCATTAAAAGTAACTGTACAAAATGACTTTTCTTATCTCCTTACTAGCCACTTAGCAAATATAATGGGAAAAATTTATTCATAATAGATACACATATAAATCACCTGGAAGTAACAAGAGCTTTTGGGATTTATATGAAAAGAAATTACAAAACTGAGTAAGAAACAAAAGAATAGAGAGAAATACACAGGGCCTCTGTGGTTGCATAGGGTCCTGTGCTCAGAAGGTCCTTGTGCTAGGGCTTTAATGTTTTGTCTGCCATCTTGGAATTCTTAATAATTTTATATTTGAATTTGTGCTTTTAAGTGAAGGCTGATGGGATGAAGCATGGTGGCAGGGTGACGTGATAGGAAGGCTTGAAACCTCCTATCACCCCGCAGGATGACTTCTTGGTCTCCCCACTCCCACCCTGTGACCAGTCTATCCAGGGCCTGGACACTCAGCTTTAGTTGGGGCTGAGTGTGCATGCCTGTGGTGGCTTGGGGCAGAGCATGATGGCACATCTTGTGGATAGCTGGCTGGGAGCTGCATCTTGGTCAGTGCGGGGCAGGGACACATCTAATCTGATCTTGTGTGCTCTTTGGAGAAAAGGCTGAACTTAGGGCTGTGGATGGGGAAGAAATGGTGTGAGAAATATCTTTTATGGTCATGAAGTAAGAAAGTACTTTAAGACTAATAGGAATATCTCAATAGGACACGAATCAGCTTGAAAGGGTTCCCACTGGCCAAATTTGGGACAGCTTGAACAAAAGAAACAGCATTTAATTGTGAAAAACATTAAGTAAATACTGTGGGGGGTTTTTTCTTAATGAAAAAAACAAACAAAAACACACCAATCCTCACATATTGGAGGTTATCATTATACCAACCCATTTGGGAAGGACTATAATTGACACCTAATGGATGGAGGAAAAGCCTTCTTCACAGAAAAATGCTTAGTAAATGTAGAAAAAAATAATAGAATTTTAAAAATCATTGCTTTAGCCCAGATCAGGATGACATTATTGGTGAAGAATAAACAGCTGAAGATAAAAAAACCTAACTCATTCTTATGAGGCCTGAATTGCCCCGACACTAAACCTAGATAAGGACATTACAAGAAAAGAAAACTAGAGACCAATTTCCCTGATGAATATAGATGCAAAAAATTCTCAACAAAGTATTAGCAAATATAATTCAGCCACACATTAAAAGGAATTCCTGGAATGCAAGAATGGTTCAACATTTGATAATCCATGCAATACCACATTAACAGAATGAAAGGAAAACATAATATGATTATTTCAATTGATACAGAAAATTTTGTTAAATAACAAAATTGAAGGAAATAGAAGAAAACTACCACAACTATTAAAGGGTAAAGTGGCCGAAACCGGTTTGGCTCAGTGGATAGAGCGTCGGCCTGCGGACTGAAAGGTCCCAGGTTCAATTCCGGTCAAGGGCATGTACCTGGGTTGCGGGCACTTCCCCATTGGGGGGGTGTGCAGGAGGCAGCTGATCGATGTTTCTCTCTCATCGATGTTTCTAACTATCCCTCTCCCTTCCTCTCTGTAAAAAATCAATAAAATATATTTTAAAAAAATAAAATAAAGGGTAAAGTGTATAAAAAAATCCCAAAGCTAACACTATATGATGAAAGACAAAGCTTTTCCTCTAAGACCAGGAAGAAGACAAGGTTGCCTGTTTTCACCACTTCTATTCAAAATGACCTGTGTTGGGATTATCTGGCAAGAATTTTAAAGACTCTATCATTTTAAAAAAACACATCAAGGAGAAAGATGAATGTGTTTGAAATAAACAGCAGAAAACCCCAGCAAAATAATCAGATATAAAAAAGAACCAAAAGGGAATGTTAGAACTGAAAATTATAATAACTGATTTTTTATTGGGCTCCATATCAGAATGGAAATGACAGAGGAATGCATTTGTGAACTAAAGATATAAATTAATCTGATCATCAGGGAGAAAATAGACTGAAATTAAAAACTGAGTGTAGCCTTAGGAAGGATCTCTGGAACAATAATGAAAGATCTAGCATTCTTGTCATTGGAGTCCCAGAAAGAGAAGAAAAGTACTATGGCTAAAAAAAATTTAAATAAATAGTGGCTGAAAGTTGACAAAATTTGGCCAACAGCATAAATCTATAGATTCAAAAAGCTGCATGATGCCCTAGCTGGTTTGGCTCAGTGAATAGAGCATCAGTATACAGAATGAGGGGTCCTGAGTTTGATTCCGGTCAGGGGCACATGCCTGGGTTGTGGGCTCCGTCCCCGATGTGGGGTGTGCAGGAGGTGGCCAATCGGTGGTTGTCTCTCATCATTGGTGTTTCTAACTCTCCCTCTCCCTTCTTCTCTGAAATCAATAATAATAATAATAATAATAATAATAATTAATAAAAAGCTGCATGAACCCCAAATAGAAGGAACCCCATAAAACTATTCAAAGACATGTCACATATTTCTCAAAATTAAAGACAAACAAAAAGTCTTGAAAGTAGTCAGCAAGGACACGTCTAGAGCAAAGATTTAAATGACATTGGATTTCTAATTAGAAACCATGGAGGCCAGAGGAAATGCTGACAAGAATGTGGAGAATCCTGATGGGAATCTAACTTGGTATAGCTACTCTGGGAAATTGTTTGGCTACTTCTTAGTATAAAACTAAACATGTAATTATCATACAAATCCCACCAATTGCATTGTTGAACATTTATTTCATTTATCACAGAGAAATGAAAAATGTATGTTTTACACAAAAGCATGTATACAAATGCTCACAGCACCTTTATTTATGATAACCCCACAATGGAAACAATTCACATATCCTGCAACGGGTGAATAGTTAAATTGTGGTTCAGTTATACAACAGACTGCTACTCAATAAGAAGGAATAAGCTATTGGTACAATGTCTTGGATGTATCTTAAAGGATAAGCACTGAGTAAAAATCGTCAATCCAAAAGGTTACATATTGTATGATTTCATATATGTGTATGTTATATATATAAAACAGTTATAGAGATGGAGAACAAATTAGTAGTTTACAGGAATTCAGAAAGGGTTGAGGAGGGAGCTGAGTGTTGTTATAAAAGGGCAGCACAGTGGTTCCTATTCATGTGAAATTGTTCTGTATCTTGACTGTCACGGTAATTATACAAGTTTACACATGTAAACTATAAATGTTAAACCATAAATGATATTATACAAAACTGGTGAAATCTGTATAAAATCAGTGTATTGTTTCAGTGTAAATTTCCTGGTTGTGGTATTGTACAATGTAAGATGTTACCATTGGGGGAACCTGGGGGGAAAGTACATGGGATCTCTATTATTTCTTACTCCTGGATGTGAATTGGCATTTATCTTGAAATAACAAGTTGGATTTTTAAAATCTATTAAATCATCTGGAAACAACCCAGAGCCCATTAAGTAATAAATGAATAGAAAAACAAAAAATGGAATATTTGTATGTGAATTAACCTTATTTTTATTAGATTGAAGAAAAAGACTGCCCATGACCACATGGGCGATGTCCAAATCTTTATTAAGTTTATTGGAGTAACATTGGTTAATAAGATCATATAGGTTTCAGATGTGGATTTCTATGATACAAGATCTGTCTATTGCACTGTGCCCACCACCCTAAGTCAAATCATCTTCCATTACCATATATTGGGCCCTCTCCACCCTCCCCACCCTCTTCCCTCTGGCAACCACCACACTATTGTTTGTGTCCACGAGTGTTATATCCCACATATGATGTAATCATATGGTTCTTAGATTTTTCTGCCTGGCTTATGTCACTTAGCATAATATTCTCAAGGTCCCTCCATGTTGTTGCAAATGGCAGTATTTCATCTTTTCTTATGGCAGAGTAGTATTCCATCAAACAATGGAAAATTAATCAGCCATACAAAGAAGGAAATACTGATACACTCTATAACAAGGATGACATTACACTATGTGATAAAGAAGTAAAACAAAATACCATTTATATAAATGGAATCATGTAATGCATGATTCCATTTATACAAAATAGACAAATCTATAGAGACAGAAAGTAGATTAGTGTGCCAGGGACTAGGTGGAGGAGAGAAAGGGGAGTGACTGCTAGTGAGTACAGGATGATAAAAATGTTCTGGAATTAAATAGTGATAATGGTTTTACAACATTGTGAA